TCTTCATGCAGAGAGGACCTGGCCTTATGGGAGGTGGTCCCCATTGCCTGGCGAGACTATTCGATCTCATTGTCTTTTCTCCCCTGACTCCAGCAGACCTCTCGAGCCAAGGACACCTGGCCACAGCCCTGATCATAGCCATGTCCACCATCTTCATCATGGCCATTGCCATTGTCCTCATCATCATGTTCTACATCATGAAGACCAAGCCTTCTGCTCAAGGTGACCACCCTGCCCTCCAAAGCCCCTATGCCCCCCCATAGGATCTCCCTTCCAGAAAGGCCCAATAGCTCACCCACTTGGTAATCTTTGCTCCTCACATACCTCTTTCTCTCCCTCTCTCCTTCTCTCTCTCTCTCACCAGCCTGCTGTACCAGCCACTCAGTGAAGAGCGTGGAAGCCCAAGTGAGCAAAGAAGAAGAGAAAAAAGAGACCCCAGGTCTGTAAACCTGGCCTTGCGCGTTTGCTTCCACAAGAAGCCATCCCAAACTTGAAGACTCACTGCCATAGGGTAGACTCTAACTCCTAGTGACCCCATACGACAGAGGAGAACTTCCCCTGTGGGGTTCTGAGAGTATTCATCTTTACAGGAGCAGAAAGCCTCATCTTTCTCCTGTGGAGCAGCTGGTGGGGTTGAATGACTGGCGTTGTGGTGAGCAGCCCGAGACATAGCCACTATACCTCCAGGGAGTCTTACAAAAGGCCACGGAGGGGGTTAGGGGAGATTCAAGACTCCCGTTATCACTACTGGGCAATTTGACCTCTTAATTGCTTGTGTGTTCATGTCATTTAGCCCAAAGGAAGAAGTGTTGATAGCACTCATATTTTTAACATGTTATTAAGGAGCCTGGGTGGTACTTTCAGGTAAGTGCTGGACTGCTAACCACAAAGCCAGGGGTTCAAAACCACCAGCTAATCTGTGGGGGAAAGATGCGGCTATCTGTGCTCATAAGAATTCAGAATCAACTCTCTGGAAGTGAGTTTGGTTTTTGTTTTTGTGAGGGTGGTGTTGTCCATTACATTGGTAGTTCAAATCCACCAGCCCCTTCAAGGGAGAAAGATGAGTCTATCTGTTCATCTTATAAAGATTCCCAGCCTTGGAAGCCCAATATAAGGAGAGTGGATTTGGGTGTGGAAGTATGTAATTAAAAGGGTAGTATCATTTAAGGAGATTTAGCCATCAGACAATTCTGTGAAAGAGGACATATGTAAGAATGAGAAGGGGTCCAGTTTAGAGACACAACCAATGTTGACTCTCTCCCCCCAAATCTTCCATTGTTCTACAGACAATGTAGTGATTTTCTCTGAGAAGGATGAGTTCGAGAAGCTGACAGCCACTCCAGCAAAGACTACCAAGAGGTAAAGTCAAGCCCCTAGCAGCCCCTGTCCACAGGTTACAGCAGCCCCTAGCCCCAGGCTGACAGTCCTGCCCCTTCACAGCTGAAGAAGGGAGGGAGGCCTATTGAGAACCCTGGGCAACACGGGACTGGTCAGCGTATTGGACAGAAGAGCACCTGGCTTGCTGAGATTGGGCTAGAGAAGGGCATGGTGAGCAAAGCCACGCAGGCAGTGGGAGGGCTGCTGTTCTCTAGCAGCAGATCCATCTGGGCCAGGGCAGGCTGCTCTTCATCTCACCAGTCAGCCATCAGGGATTGTGTGTGGTGTGTGGGGCAGGTGTTGAACACCTGCTCCTGCTGGGTGAGGGCCCCATCCCCTTCCCTGGTGCCGTGTGCCCTTTGCCCTTCTTCTTAGCTGGCTCCTTCCCTGTGCAGGTCCTAAAGCTGTCCATATGGCCCGTCTTTTTTAGATTGTGGGGGGGAAATGCTAG